AGCTTCGCTCTCTGCTGCGTTAGCTTCGTTCGCTGCGTTAGCTTCGTTCGCTTCGTTAGCTGCGTTAGCTTCGCTCTCTGCTGCGTTAGCTTCGTTCGCTGCGTTAGCTTCGTTCGCTTCGTTAGCTGCGTTAGCTTCGCTCTCTGCTGCGTTAGCTTCGTTCGCTGCGTTAGCTTCGTTCGCTTCGTTAGCTGCGTTAGCTTCGCTCTCTGCTGCGTTAGCTTCGTTCGCTGCGTTAGCTTCGCTCGCTGCGTTAGCTTCGTTAGCTGCGTTAGCTTCGCTCTCTGCTGCGTTAGCTTCGCTCTCTGCTGCGTTAGCTTCGCTCTCTGCTGCGTTCGCTGCTCTGTCTCCCACTCACCCTTCCTCCTGCGCTGCCAGCGGACTCAGCGACAGCTTGGACAGGTTTTTGGCGTATTCCTCCTCAATCTTTATCCTGACACACAGACATGAAGATGTCAGCTGACTGGACAAGAAAAACCTTCAAGACAATTTAAAAAGCAGAAGATAATGAAGCTGGTTGTGAGTTTTACAGAGCGGCTGTTTCTGTTCTCATGTTTCTGCCCTTTACCTTCACGTTTACACCTGAATGACTCGGCCTCCTGCTCTCTCCCAGGCGCTAAAGGTCAGGAAGGGAAATTAGCTTGAAGGATTCTGGCTTTCAGCTTTCAGCATGCTCAGTGTCATTTTCCACCACAAAGAGCAGAAAGTGGAAAAAAGGCGACTTCAGTTGGAAACAATTACAGCGCCTTCCAACAGCTTGGATTTTCTCATTTTATCAAGATAAAATGAAAAGTTCACTGCATTTTACTGGAGTTTATGTAAAATCATACATGGGTTTTAAATGTCTGTTTGCATTCAGCCCCAGGTTCTCTGATGCCCTTAAATAAAATCCAGCCTGTTACTTTAAGGCAAATCAGGGATGAAATGCTGGAGGAGTTTAAATCAAAGTTCAGTTCTGAAACAAAAACCCAAGCAGAGAAAAATCTCATCGATCTGCCAGCAGGAATACGACACGAATGCAAACCTACGAGACCTGGCCTGTGATTTTAACAAAACACAAAATTAGACGAGCAATAAGGTTTCTTATAGATATACTAACTGCAAAAAGATTTAACATAAACGTCCAGATTTGCCAAGTTAAGCAGAAATGTGAGATTACAGATTATGATAGATTAAGAGCCAAACTTCCCGTCACTATGATTTGATATGTAAAGAATGAGAATATTTTTTGAAATATCTTTTTTTCCTCTGCTTCACATCTGTTCTGTATTCTGAGTTGGTTTATCACATAAAATTAAACATGTCAGCGCTGCTGGTTCTGACCTGGTCAAACGTTTCAGGGGTTTTTGGAAACTGCATTTATTAAAACGTCTCTGTTCCCGCTGTGGGAACGTTTCTGTGCCTCAGACGTCACGGATTCAGCCAGCCGCCCGTAAAGCCGTTACCTCTCATGGATGAACTCAGCCATCTCCTTCTGCAGCTGTTTCCCCTTCAGCTGCTTCTGCAGCAGGACCTCGAAGCCCGTGACGTGGGCGGCCCCCTGCGGGTCCTTCCTGTCGGCCTGCGGACAGAGCAGAGCACCGGCTGCATGAGCGGAGCGGCAGAGCATCACGGGTTGGTCAGAGGTGAGTCAGAGACGCTGAGAGCTGTGATTCATCCTGACTGAGAGGCCGCGCGTCGGCGTTCACACGTCAGCCGCTGAGGGCCGCTTCGCTCAGCCTCTCATGTCAAACGTGTTTGGATGGCGTGTGGCAGCCATGTTGCGCTCAGTGACAGCGCGCGTGGGACCGAGGCGTCAGGTCAGCGAACGGACAGGAAGTCATCAGGAGGAGGAAACGCCGAGTTTCAGTCAGAAATCTGATTTATTTGGGGTTAAAACAGTAAAATCAGATGAAAACTGATTCATGCAGAAACCGTGGATATAATCCACTTTAATCTGCATCAGGCTACAGAGATTCTTTCAAACAGAAACTGTTAATGGTTGTAAAATTACATTTTTGAGATTAAATTTATTTTGTTGGAGAAGAAAAAAAGACATTTGCAGCAAATTGATACGAGTTTCAGGCTGAGCGGTTTGAACCTGACGGATCCAGCAGTGAGTCACGTTATGGATTAGCTGATCTGTGGAAAATCAATCCACTCACTGGAGTATCGGCTCCTCTACGAAGCAGAAACATGACGAAGAGGGCTTATGCTGCCGATAATAATCAATAATCTGTTAAAATAACAGCAAATTCTCCTGTTACACCAACAAACAAGTTATTTTAATACAAAGTAACAGAGTCAGTAAGATTTTTATAATTGCTTTTAGGATATTAGACTTTTTCTCAAGAGATGCCATGGATTTTAGCTCTAAACTTTGACTAGGCCGTGGGAAATGTTTAATTTTCTGCTGCATTTTGTTGATTCAGATCGTCAGTAGATTTCTGAAGGTTTTAGTTTGAAACTAAATGATATAATTATTTAGAGCTGTTCAGGAACAGTAACTCCAGAGCATGATGCTGCCACCGCCATGTCCAAACTTTGGTTTGTCTTCATCAGACCCAAACAAAGTTTGTTCCCGAGTCCAAGCAGACAGAAATGAAGTGGACTTCCTGTGAGTCCTCCGTTAGCTTCCTGCCATCAGGTCTGGATTTAATGACGTCACTTTGGCCAGATTAACCGTCAGGAAAATCCTCTCAGCCAAACTGTTTCAGGTCAGACGGAGAAACAGGAAAAATGTGCATGAAGCAGGGTTTACTTTAATAATCTGCAGACTAATACAGATAATTA